GAGAGAGAGAGAGAGAGAGAGAGAGAGAGAGAGAGAGAGAGAGAGAGAGAGAGAGAGAGAGAGAGAGAGAGAGAGAGAGAGTTTTTTTTTTTTTTTTTTTTTTTTTTTTTTTCATGTGTACCTACCGGTAGCTTGAGGCTCGGCAAGGGTCGGGATACCGGTGGGCTGAGCCACGGGCCTTAACAACCGGTAGGTACTGGTGGTTTAACTCCCGGATTACCGGCCTTGCTTGCTTCAATAGCAGGCTTCTGAAGGTAAGTTTTGTCATCCGACGTACCCCGCCATGCCCCTGATTCTCAACCATTCTATCCACTCTTCCTGCTTTCTTGCCTCCAATTCTTCCAAGATAATCATTTTTTTCCCCCTTTGCTCAGTCCAGTAATATTAAGTGAAAGGGTCCCTTTCCTTCACTGCATTCTCAACCTTCTTTTCTTCCCATCTCCTGTTTGCGGTTTGTATTTTTGAGGCCTCCAAGGCCGCCGTTATGATCCCTAATCCCACCTCTCGTTTCTCGTCCTCCTTTCGCTCGTCTTCCCTCCCTCATCGCGCTCCTCGTCCTGCCACTCGAAAGCTTCTCTCGTACTGCGCACGATCCGAGTCCGTCGGAGTGCCACCAACAGCCACAGGGCCATGCTGAAACCTTGCACGGTACCCTTAGGGGCATCTTGAAGACTTGAACATATTTCAGGCCCAAACGACGGTAGGGGCTTTTTGGAAACTTGAACCGTTGCCAGAGGGGCGCGGCACGCAGGGTAAGTCAATCGTTAGAGGGCCCTACGTAATTCAGTTCAGTCAGCTCGTTCGGATCTGCTTTCGAGCTCTGGTCCTATATTTCAACAGCTCATAGTTGTAGTAGAACTGGGTCGAGGTCCCACTAGTAGCAAAAAGGATAGGATCGACCTCCTGAATCTGGATGTGTTTTATGCAGAGATGCAGAAAAGCAGTTCAATCTCGATTTCTTGCACATCTCCATAACCTCATCCAGATCCGGGCATTCGATCCGATCCTCGTTGCTAGTGGGACCATGCCCCTGATGTAGACCCATTGGTCGGGAGTGTATTTTGGCCCCCTTTTTGTTCAGGGGCCATGCAAATCTGCTTTGTATCCCTCAAATTTCAACGAATGGACAGGGGCGGTATTTTGAGGGACATCCGATAGAGTGTTTTTTTTTTGGGAAAATTTGTCTGGCGCCCTTGTATTTTGCGATAATTCGCGTGGCGCCCCTCCGACGACCGGCTTACCCTGTCGCGGCCCTGGGCTAAAACATATTTTCGGCAGGCCCTTGTCGGTAGTGACCGCAACTTTCCAGGACGCCCTCGTTGGACTGGCGGTCTCATTTCCGTCGGGCCCTGTGCCATATGCCCTCACGAGGGTTTGTCGTCTTTCTGCAATGCCCCCGCAGTCGTGAGGCGCCAGAAATTCGAATTCGATTCGAAACTGCCTACCCTCCTTGACGCGACGATTTGAAACTGCGTCCTTTGACGCGGCCACCATGTTGTTGTCGACACGCCGCGGCCGAGAAGCTGCTGGATTCCACGGTGAGTGTCACTCACCTTTCTTCGTTCTCCCTGTAGTCCATCCCCTCGTTCTTCGTATCTTCTGCTTCCCTACGAGTGTGTGTGTGTGTGTGTGTGTGTG